TTACGGAGGAAAGATTCTTTTTCCCACTTCCCCATGGATATAAAAGGGAAAATTAATAAGACCAAGAACTATTAAGATAAAATCAAAGAAAACTCAGATGAGTGTGTATAAATAAATGTGTACATGATGTGTAGTGGGGACCTAAGTGTAAGTAGAAGTAGCAAGACGTACCTGTAATCTTGCATATTTATGAGACAGACAAAAGACATCAGCAATCCTCCCATCTGTAAAACAATCACAGGCTTCGTTTTACACTCACTTGGCAGGACGGTAGTACCTCCCTGGGTGGTTGCTGTCTACCAACCTACTACCTATATATATATTATATATATATTATATATTTTATATATATATAAAATTTTATATATATATATATATATATATATAAATATATATATATAAATATATATATATTTTATATAATATATATATATATATATAATTAAATATATGTATAAAAATTAGTTAGGTAGTAGGTTGGTAGACAGCAACCACCCAGGGAGGTTTAGTACCGTCCTGCCAAGTGAGTTTTAAAACGAAAGCCTGTAATTGTTTTACATGGTGGGATTGCTGGTGTTTTTGTCTGTCCATAAATATGCAGATTACAGGTATGTCTTGATACTTCTACCTACACTTAGGTCAAAAAACCTACACATAATGTACCACATTTATTTATACCCCACTCATCTGAGTTTCTTTGATTTTATCTTAATAGTTTTTGGTCTTATTACTTTTCCTTTTATATCTATGGGAAGTGGAATAAGAATCTTTCCTCCGTAAGCCATGCGTGTTGTAAAAGTCAACTAAAATGCCCGGGAACAATGAGCTAGTAACCCCTTTTCCTGTAAAGATTACTAAAAAGAATAAGAAGAAGAAAATTGTCAAAGTGGGGGAAATCTGAATGTGCGTGGATGTTGTGCAAATGATAAAGAGATGATTTTGGATGTTATGAATGAGAAGAAACTGGATGTCCTGGCTTTAAGTGAAACAAAGCTGAAGGGGGTGGGAGAGTTTCAATGGAGAGGAATAAATGGGATTAGGTCAGGGGTTTCAAATAGTTAGAGATAAAGAAGGAGTAGCAATAATGTTGAAGGATAAGCTATGGCAGGAAAAGAGGGGGCTACAATGATAAATTCAAGGGGTTAGTGGAGTAAAATAAGGTTGGATGTGAAAAGGGTTTTTAGTAAGCGTGTATGCACTGGAAGAGAGAAGTGGAGAGGCGAGAGAGAGAATTAGGAAATGTTGATGAATGCGGGAGTTCTGAAAACAAGTGTGAGAGTAATGGGGTGGTTGGGGATTTCAATGCTTAAAGTGAGTAAAAAATGTTATGGAGGGATAAGTAGGTAAATTTGGGGTCCAGGGTAAATGTAAATGGGGAGCCTTTAATTGAGCTATGTGTAGAAAGAAATTTGGTAAATAAGTAATACATATTTTATGAAAAAGAGGATAAATAAATATACAAGGTATGATGCAGCACGTAATGAAAGTAGTTTTTTAGATTATGTATTAGTAGATAAAAGGTTGATGGGTAGGCTCCAGGATGTACATGTTTATAGAGGGGCAACTGATATATCGGATCATTATTTAGTTGTAGCTACAGTTAGAGTAAGAGGTAGATGGGAAAAGAGGAAGGTGGCAACAACAAGTAAGAGGGAGGTGAAAGTGTATAAACTACAGGGAGGAGGAAGTTCGGGCGAGATATAAGCGACTATTGGCAGAAAGGTGGGCTAGTGCAAAGATGAGTAGTGGGGAGGGGGTGAAGAGGGTTGGAATAGTTTTAAAAATGCAGTATTAGAATGTGGGGCAGAAGTTTGTGGTTACAGGAGGGTGGGGGCAGGAGGAAAGAGGAGTGATTGGTGGAATGATGAAGTAAAGGGTGTGATAAAAGAGAAAAAGGTAGCTTACGAGAGGTTTTTACAAAGCAGAAGTGTTATAAGAAGAGCAGAGTATATGGAGAGCAAAAGAAAGGTGAAGAGAGTGGTGAGAGAGTGCAAAAGGAGAGCAGATGAAAGAGTGGGAGAGGAACTGTCAAGAAATTTTAATGAAAATAAGAAAAATTTTTGGAGCGAGTTAAACAAGTTAAGAAAGCTTAGGGAAAGTATGGATTTGTCAGTTAAAAACAGAGTAGGGGAGTTAGTAGATGGGGAGAGGGAGGTATTAGGTAGATGGCGAGAATATTTTGAGGAACTTTTAAATGTTGAGGAAGAAAGGGAGGCGGTAATTTCATGCACTGGCCAGGGAGGTATACCATCTTTTAGGAGTGAAGAAGAGCAGAATGTAAGTGTGGGGGAGGTACGTGAGGCATTACGTAGAATGAAAGGGGGTAAAGCAGTTTGAACTGATCGGATCATGACAGAAATGTTAAAAGCAGGGGGGGATATAGTGTTGGAGTGGTTGGTACTTTTGTTTAATAAATGTATGAAAGAGGGGAAGGTACCTAGGGATTGGCGGAGAGCATGTATAGTCCCTTTATATAAAGGGAAAGGGGACAGAGATTGTAAAAATTACAGAGGAATAAGTTTACTGAGTATACCAGGAAAAGTATACGTTAGGGTTATAATTGAAAGTATTTTCTTTTTGGGGATTTTCTTTCTTTTTTGGGTCACCCTGCCTCGGTGGGAGACGGCCGACTTGTTGGAAAATATATATATATATATATATATATATATATATATATATATATATATATAATATATATATATATATACATATATATAATATCATGCATTGGACAGGGAGGTATACCATCTTTTAGGACTGAAGAAGAGCAGGATGTGAGTGTAGGAGAGGTGCGTGAGGCATTACGTAGAATGAAAGGGGGTAAAGCAGCTGGAACTGATGGGATCATGAGAGAAATGTTAAAACCAGGGGGGGATTTAGTGTTAGAGTGGTTGGTAATTTTGTTTAATAAATGCATGAAAGAGGGGAAGGTACCCAGGGATTGGCAGAGAGCATGTATAGTTCCTTTATATAAAGGGAAGGGGGACAAAAGAGATTGTAAAAATTATAGAGGAATTAGTTTACTGAGTATACCAGGAAAAGTGTACGGTAGGGTTATTATTGAAAGAATTAGAGGCAAGACATAATATAGGATTGCGGATGAGCAAGGATGCTTTAGAGTGGGTAGGGAATGTGTAGATCAAGTGTTGACATTGAAGCATATATGTGAACAGTATTTAGATAAAGGTAGGGAAGTTTTTATTGCATTTATGGATTTAGAAATGGCATATGATAGAGTGGATAGGGGAGCAATGTGGCAGATGTTGCAAGTATATGGAATAGGTGGTAAGTTACTAAATGCTGTAAAGAGTTTTTATGAGGATAGTGAGGCTCAGGTTAGGGTGTGTAGAAGAGGGAGACTACTTCCCAGTAAAAGTATGTCTTAGACAGGAATGTGTAATGTCACCATGGTTGTTTAATATATTTATAGATGGGGTTGTAAAAGAAGTAAATGCTAGGGTGTTCGGGAGAGGGGTGGGATTAAGTTATGGGGACTCAAATACAAAATGGGAATTGACACAATTACTTTTTGCTGATGATACTGTGCTTATGGGAGATTCTAAAGACAAACTGCAAAGGTTAGTGGATGAGTTTGGGAGTGTGTATAAAGGTACAAAGTTGAAAGTGAACACAGAAAATAGTAAGGTGATGAGGGTATCAAATGATTTAGATAAAGACAAATTGGATATCAAATTGGGGAGGAGATGGAAGAAGTGAATGTTTTCAGATATTTGGGAGTTGACGTGTCAGCGGATGGATTTACGAAGGATGAGGTCAATCATAGAACTGATGAAGGAAAAAAAGGTGAGTGGTGCGCTGAGGTATATGTGGAGACAAAAAATGTTATCTATGGAGGCAAAGAATGGAATGTACGAAAGTATAGTGGTACCAACACTCTTAAATGGGTGTGAAGCTTGGGTTGTAAATGCTGCAGCGAGGAGGCGGCTGGAGGCAGTGGAGATGTCCTGTCTAAGGGCAATGTGTGGTGTAAATATTTTGTAGAAAATTCGGAGTGTGGAAATTAGGAGAAGGTGTGGAGTTAATAAAAGTATTAGTCAGAGGACTGAAGACGGGTTGTTGAGGTGATTTGGTCATTTAGAGAGAATGGATCAAAGTAGAATGACATGGAGAACGTATAAATCTGTAGGGGAAGGCGGGGAAGGGGTCGTCTTCGAAAAGGTTGGAGGGAGGGGGCAAAGGAGGTTTTGTGGGCGAGGGGCTTGGACTTCCAGCAAGAATGCATGAGCGTGTTAGATAGAAGTGAATGGAGACGAATAGTATTTGAGACCTGACGAGCTGTTGGAGTGTGAGCTGGGTAATATTTAGTGAAGGGATTCAAGGAAACCGGTTATTTTTATATACCCGGACTCGAGTCAGGAAATGGGAAGTACAATGCCTGCACTTTAAAGGAGGGGTTTGGGATACTGGCAGTTTGGAGGGATATGTTGTGTATCTTTATACGCATATGCTTCTAAACTGTTGTATCCTGAGCACCTCTGCAAAAACAGTGATTATGTGTGAGTGAGATGAAAGTGTTGAATGATGAAAGTATTTTCTTTTTGGGGATTTTCTTGCTTTTTGGATCACCTTGCCTCGGTAGGAAACGGCCTGGCCGACTTAATATATATATATATATATATATATATATATATATAATATATATATATATATATATAATATATATATATATGCAAGGAATTCGCAAGAGCAGGCGAAATATACACAAACACTGATCTCTGGCTGAAGGAGACTCGAACCTACGAACCTTGGAACAAGGTACGCAGTGCTTTACCAATCTACCCACACTGGACCAATACCTGGAGTCCAGCTTACGCTAGTCTTTGATCCAAGGCCAGAGATCATGTTTATATATATATATATATATAATATATATATATATATATATATATATATATATATATATATATATATATATAATATATATATACCGAAAACACCAGACTTTTTACGGAGCTGCATCTGAACGACTCACAACTTACTTGGCACAAACTCTGAAGCTGAACTTGGTGTCGGTGGGAAAGATGTATCTGGGAGGAGTGACAACCACTTCAAACCGTGGTAGCACATATTCTTCCACCTTAAATTCTGCATTACTTGTTCTGTTGTCCGCAGTCTTAACAAAAACCTTATAAGTTCCCTGAAGATAAATATTCAGATTTAAAAAAAAAAATCGTTCCAGGAAAGCCTGTAAACAACTACAAATTCTAAGTTTACAAAAGCAAGAAATAAAAAATTCACTGAGTATCAGATTATTCAGTTAGTTAACATCCATTTACAATTGTCTATTGGAAAGATGCCAAGTGTATTCCTTTACTATTGTATTATAGTGCATGAGGTTTTAATGGCCCTGTCATGTGTACGATTTGCCTGTTTGATATTCCCATTTGTAGTTACAGGAGGAGAGCTCTGCTTCAGGGTTTTCTCGTCTTTAATGTGATTACCCATTTGTAATTACGGGAGCAAAGCAATGCCAGTTTTTCAAGGTTATGAGTAATTTTTAGCACATTCTGTCTTCGCTTGAATTCCATTATATCCACATGCCTCCTTACTTCTAAAGAATTATTGTCGAGTGAATTTTTAGCTTATGTTAATAAATATTTTCCTGTTACTTTATATTTTTAGCATATCTCCTGTCTACCAAACAACATTATCAATATTTTTAGCCTTTCTTCGCTACTCACATTTCTTAAAGCTATTTAATAGGTATTGTTTATTCTAGCCATATTTTTTTTTGGCGAAAATATAATACTACAGCTGCATATTCTAATTTTCAGCCAACATATGTTGTGATTCTTTTTAAATGCTTATCTTTTGTGTTCTAAAACTCGAAGAAAATGTGTATATCTTATTAAACCAGTATGCAATCTGAGAAGATGCGCTCACCTGCTCGGGTTCGTCCACCAGGGACATGGTGAGGTGGACGAGTCCAGCACTGTTGTCCACGTTCGTCCACTGAGCCACACGAGTCTGAGATGGCGTCCTCACCCACACCAGCTGGTACTGTTAAAACCACTCACAAACATTAACTACTAGACAACTGTTGAAGCATACACCCACTCATTTGTACCATACACACACTGGTATTATACACCCACTCACTAATGTCACACTGGTATGCACTCTTTAGTATATACACACGTCCTCACTGGTGTCATGCACCATAGTATGATACCCGCACAGACTAGTATCACGTAAAATGCACACACCTGGAGGCTTACACGCACTCACTAGTATCATACACACATGAGCTCCTTGCGAGGTAAATAGGACTTTAACAGTTGTCAGCATACATGTGGCTTGACCCAACAGATGTAACGACTCCATCACCCTAAGCTGCATATGTTAAACATACAAACGTATATCATTTAGCCTCTACGAAAGCAATATTTATCTAGGTGTCACATAAAGTGTTCATCGAGTGTTAAACAATTACACAGCACTAAAACAAGACCAACCGTTTAATTTTTTACCAGTTTCTTCAGTTTTCAAGTATTACATAATACTGTTATTGTTTGGCTAACAGGAAAATAAATATGGATACAGTTCCAGTGGTGGATGAATTATTATTATAAGAACCAAAAGGTTAAAGAATGTAGTAGCTCAACACACAATTAATCCATAATTTGGAGATGAAAGCTTAGAAGTATTAGTCGGTTCTGGACCGTTATCAAGTCATCAGTTAATAATAGTGAAAGACAGGCAGGAAACATTCTTTAATTTTTCCTCCAAATTGTGAATTAGTTATAAATTGTTCCAGCCACAGGGCATTGAAAATTTTATTCTTCGGATCAACCGTATTTCCAGTCTTAAATTTCTCGAGGAAGCGCACGATTGCTTTGCACAAGCCTTCACACGTTTCCACTTTCCTCTTTTTTTTTCCATTCGGGATTGTAGACGCATTCACAGTCTACCTTGAAAGCTACTCCTACTGAACGCATAAGATATACTTAGTACTCTCGAGTGGCGACATGGCCAACAACACACTCCCTTCCAGACCAAAACGTTTCCTATCAAATGTTGTAAAATGTCTGCTCATAAATCATTTCCTTAAGTCTAGGTAATCTACAGATTCTGTGAACCTGAGCTAATCTACTTTAAGAGTAACCTCGGTGTGTTTTGGGTTAATTCATTCGTATTTCTGAGTTTAACTTATTATTATTATTATTAAAGATTCGCCGGTATTCTCCCGGCCCGGGCCTTTACCAAGTGGTGGCCCGGCCTTGGCTCCCTCTTTAGGGAGTGTCTGAGACCTAAGTCTCCCATGGGAGGAGGCACAAGTACCTCCTCATCTTTGGGACCAACTGTCCCAGGCCTAGCCACAGACCTCTCTGGTCTGCCATCCACGCCCCAAGGGGCCTAATGGGAAGGACAGACTTGTGAGCTGCCTTTTTAATAATTAAAAGCAATGAGAGTCGCTCCTCTCACCGCTGGGCAACGGCGACAAGTATAATTTTTTTTTATATAGTAATGTCCAGGGTTTATTACCTGGACCTCAGCAATGAGAGTCGCTACTCTCACCGCTGGGCAACGGCGACCAGTGCAAAACTTCTTGCGTATAATGTTGATCTCACCTGCTGCTCGTTAAGCTTTTCTCAATACTGCTGTATTTCTCCGTAAAATAAAATAATAACTGTCAACTTGGATGATTCGATCTCTTGACAATAAGAATTTTGGTGGTGGCTGCCACAACCGAAAATAAACTCTGCAAGAGTAATAAATGGGTTACGTTGTAAGTTAACTAACTTACTGGTTGGGTCGAGACGTTAAAATTTGGGTTGTCGAAAGAGAGGATTCTAATCTGGACCTTCTGGCCGGGTTGGTAGAGGTATTTGTCCGTTTGGATGATGGTTTTGCTGCTGCTGGTGTCGATGGTGAGCTGAGCCGTGTGGTTGACCTTAACCCCGGCCACACGCCCCGTAACGTAAAGGTCAGCGTCATAGAAATTGCGAACACCTTCCGGAACATCCACTCGCTCACAGAAGTCCACCGCTCCTGAAGAGGATGAGCGGACATATGGATACCGTAAAAAGGAAAATTACTAAATGTGCTTGCTTTTTTCACAATTAAGGGGAATAAATGTAGTACGAGAACACTGCCTCAAGAACAGACATCATTTTATACTGGAACTAAACTAACAGTTTATCTTCTCAAAATACTCGGACATCTATGCCTAGAAAATACTGTATTTTCTATCAACACTTTAAAGGAAATGCATTAACCAATCTGACAAGAAAATATTATACTGGGAGATCTAAGCCTGAAGAAATCCGCTAAGAACTGTTGTGAAAGTAATACAAAATAAAACTCAGTGATTAAATAAGACTGGCCCATGGCCCCTCACCGCGGGGGACGGGGATGGTAACTGCGGGTAAACGGGGTCTCATCTTCCTTTATAGTGAGGGAAAGGGTTGGTTTTGACAGCCAGCGGAGGGTCCCAGCCGGACAGCAGCATCACTCCCCCAAAAACATCCCTTTGTAGGGCCCCCTTTCACCCACTCCTGGGGTGGTTATCACAAAAATTCCGGCAACACCAGAAGGGGGTTTAATGGGAAAAATTAAGTAGCTTGTATCTCTCTTATTCGGGGGGGGATCGAGCTTCACCATCATAGGCTATGACTTATTTTTTGTCTTAAAAAAAATACTCAATAATCCCTCAAAACAAACCCCTTCTGCTTTTTCAGTCACTCCATATTCAGTCTGTGTGTGGTGTGTGTGTGTGGGTTTTGTGTGTTGTGTTGTGGTAAATAAGTTTATTCAGGCATACACAAATACAGCTAATAAAATTTTCTCATAGCGCTATGGGTAAAGGGTATGTGTAAATGTGTAGTTGAAATTTTGTTATTGTGTTTGTTGTGGTGTGTGGGGTGTGTGTGTGTGTGTGTGGGGTGTGTTGTGGGTGGGTGTGTTGTGGTGTTTACCATTTGGGCCTGCAATTCGATTAGACACTAGGCCCCGTTGTGGTGTGTAGGGGTGTAGGTTATTACCATTTTTTCCTAGGCACATGTCGATTTAAAACTGGCCGTTTTGGGGAGTGTAGGGGTTAGGGGGGGTTTTGGTGTGTAGGTGTGGTGTGTGTTTGTGTGGTGGTGTGTGTGTGTGTGTGTTGGGTGTGTGGTGTGTGTGTTTTGTTGGTGTGTGTGTGTGTTTTGGTGTGTGGTGTGTTGGTGTGGGGTGGGGTGTTGTGTGTGTGTGTGTGTTTTGGGGTGTGTTGGGTTTGGGGTGGGTGTTGGTGGTGTTGTGTGTTTTGGGGTTGTGTGTTGGGTGTTTTTTTGTTGGGTGGTGGGTGTGTTGGTGTGGTGTGTGTTTGGGGTTGTGTGTGTGGGTTTGGGGTGTGTGTTGGGGGTTGGTGTGTGTGGTGTGGTTGGGTGTGTGTGTGTTGGTGTTAGTTTCCATTGGGGCCTGGGACTGTGATTAGTACTAGCCTGTTGTATTGCAGCGTATAAATTTAAAATATATATATATATATATATATATATATATAATTTTATATATATATATAATAATAATATATTATTAATATGTCGTTGGGGTTTTGTGTTGTGTGTGTGTGGTGTGTGTGTGTGTTTTTGGGGGTGTGTGTGTGTGTGTGTGTGTGTTGGTGTGTGTGTGTTGTTGGGTTTGGGTGGTGTGTTGTGTTTGGTGTGTGGTTGGTGTTGTGTTGGTGTGTGTGTTGTGTGTGTTTGGGTGGTGTTGGTTGGTGGTGTGTGTGGTGTGGGGTTGGTGTGGTGTTTTGGTGTGTGTTGTGTGTGTGTGTTTTGTTGGTTGGTGTGTGTTGTTGGGGCTGTGTTGGTGTATGTGGTTGTTGTGTGTGGTTTTGTGTTGGGTGTGTGTTGGGGGTGGTTGTGTGTTGTGTGTGTGTGGGTGTTAGTTACCCTTGGGTCCTAGGCACATGTCGATTAGACACTAGGGGCCCGTTGTAAGTGCATCGTAATTAATATATGTGTGTGTGTGTGTGTGGTTGTTACCATTTGGTCCTAGGCACATGTCGATTAGAACTAGCCGTTTATGTCATGCATGGGTGTGTTGTGTGTGTGTGTTGTGTGTGTACTCACCTATTTTTGGGTTTCAGGGGTCAGTCCTAGCTCCCGGCCCCCCCTTCCACCGGGTTTTACTGCCCCCCCTTTTCCCCCCCGCTCCATGACTTTTTCAAACCTCTCTTAAAATGTGTATGGTTCCTGCCTCCACTACCATTTTCTAGGTTTTTTCCACTTCCTTTCAACCTATGACTGAAGAAATACTTCCCACTATCTCTTGACTCAATTTTTGTCTTCAATTCCAATTGTGGCCCTTGTTTCTGTTCCCCCCCGGAACATCCTTCCTTTTCCACCTTTCATTCCACGCAGTATTTTATAGCGTTTTCATGTCTCCCCCGACCCTCCTGTCCCCAGTGTCGTCAGGCCCTTTTTTCCCTTAATCTTTCTTTTATAACAATCCCCCTAGGGGTGTTGTAGTGCATGCTATATATATATATTTTATGGGTGTGTGTGTGTGTGTGTTAGTTACCATTTGGCCCAGGGACATGTCGATTAGACACTAGGCCCGTTGTATGTCATGATGTGTGTGTGTGTGTGTGGTGTTGGGGTTAGGTGGTTGGTGTTGGTGTGTGTGGGGTTTGGTGTGTGGTGTTGGTGTGTGTGTTGGGTTTTGGGGGTTTTGGTGTGTGTGTGTTGGGTGTATGTGTGTTTTGGGGTGTGTGTGTTTTGGGTGTGTTGTTTGGGGTGGTGTGTGTTTTGGTGTGTGTGTGTACTCACCTAGTTGAGGGTTTGGGGGGTCAGTCCCATCCTGGCCCCC